TCGAGCCTCACTCTCTCTCCCACCAGCCTGGCGCTCGTGGACTTATCCGTATTATCTTCTTAGCCTTCTTCTCTTATATCCCTTTTTCTATCCTTTTATCCTTCTTTCTCCTCCATCCTTCATACTCCCTTCCACACATCCAAGACGAGTTTCTGTGGGCTGGTACCCATCGTTCGGAGGTCATCTGATGATCTACGAGCCCGACGGACCACTTGAAGCACTTACTTTTGACTCCCAATTGGGCTGTGAGTACCTGCGCGTGTCCGCCGTGTCGTTGACCGCGTTGGCAGCGATGCTCACAACGCTGCTCCGCACAGCTCCTTCAGAAGCTTGCAACACTATGACAACCGTCCTCGTCCCTATAGGCCTCACTAGCGTCCTACCCAACGATACGCTACATACCAAAGAGGCCAACATGACGATGGTTGAAGAGCCAGAAATGCTGCGACCCACCAGTCCCGCCATTGCCTCGGCCATGAGGGTGCCGTCTGTCGATGCCGAGGAAGACAGTGCGGAGTCCAACAGCAGCGGAAGCTCCAGCGACGAGGAGGAAGCGGCGCCAATTTTCGAAGTGTCCTTGGACGAGGACGTAGATGGCTCCTTTTCGCCGCGCTCCCCTCGACGATCATCGGAGCCGCCCATGCCTGCGGAATTTAGCATCACCCATCCCAAGCTCGAGGAAACGCTCTCCAGACGCAAAACTCCCGGGCATTGGTCAGAACGCTCAAGTGCACAGCAAGATGGAGCAGTCAAGCTCCCGCTCAGCGCAAGGTCTTCTCGAAGTCCAAGCGTTGCTCTGAGGCATGAAGCCGCCTTGAGAAGCTTTAACATCCGTCGCTTGGTAAGCAACACTGCCCCATCAACAGCCGAGCCAAGCTCTGCCCCCGCGACTGTCGCGGATCTTAAGGGTTTTTCTGAAGATGGCAGCGAAGAAGGTGAAAATGATCGGGATGTAAGGGCTTACCTGGACACTGTGGAGCAGAGCGGTACGGCAGTCTTTGGCGAGATAGAAAAGGAGGATGAGGACGAGGATGCCAAATTCTTGCCGCCTCGCATCGAGATCGAGCAGGATTGGAACAGCGACGATGATGACGAGGACGTTGACACTGACTCAATGCCG